CCAGCCCCGGCCTCCCGAGCTACTTGGCAGCTCGTTAAGATTTTATTAATGAACGTGCCTGAATTTATACGCAGAGGCTTGCTGCTGGGAAGGGAGCAGGTGTTGCGCGGAGGGGGGGGTTTCCCAGGAGTCATGGGCTGCTCCCTTATGGAAGGGAGGGATGGGGCAGGATCCGGCCTGCCTGCTCCTGCCTGCTCCTGCCTGCACCCAGGCAGCCGTCCCCATGCTGGCGCAGTCGGAGCCCACGCCCCCGGGACGTGGGTGCAGGTGTGGGGTGCACGGTCCATCCCAAGCTGGGAGAAGTCGGATCCCTGCCTGCATCCTGCATCCCTCCCCAGCCGGCATGGGGCAGGCGAGGCCGATCCAGGCACCGAGGCCACGGCAAGGAGCAGCTGCTGTCCCCACCATGAGGGACACTGGGGTGCTGGCAGGTCCCTGCACGTTGAGGGGAGCGGTCGGTACCCCTGGCACGCTGCACCCCCCACCCTGACCCCACTTCTCCCCTCCCCAGGACACCCAGAAGGCGAAGCAGTTCCTGCCCTTCCTGCAGCGCGCCGGCCGCTCCGAGGCCGTGGTGGAGTACGTCTTCAGTGGCTCCCGGCTGAAGCTCTTCATGCCAAAGGAAACCTGCCTCATCACCTTCCTGCTCGCAGGTGAGCCCCCGCCGTCCCCGGCCGGGTGCAGGATCCGGCCCCCCCCCGGTGCCTGGCTTGATGGGGGCAGGGGGTCCTCGCCCCGCTTGGGTGCACGGTCCTCCCTCACCCCCACGGGGCTGCAGGTGAAGTTAATGCTGGTGCTGCCAACGGGTCAGCCTCGGGGGGGTTTAACTGAGCTGGGGAGCGCTAATTGGAGCTGACCAGAGGGTTCGGAGCACTGGTGCTGCCCTCTCCCCGCACCCCAACGGTGTCTGTGCCTGCCGGCCCCCCCCAGCAGGGTTTGCTCTGCGGGAACGCCGGAGTGCTGCCCCCCCGTTGTGCCCCCCACGGGGTGGGGTTTGGGTGCCTCCTGCACGTTTCGATGCCCTGTGGCGTGGCTGCTCGCTCCCTCTTCCCTCCTCGGCCCTTGTGCCTGCGGGCAGGGTGGGAAGGGTGCTTGCCTGCAGCATGGGGCGGGGGCTGCTCTGAGGTGCAGCAATGGGGGGCCCGGGAAGGATGCTCTCCTCCACCAAAACCGGGGAGTACGCGGCGAACCCCAGGAGCATCACGTGGTCGGGGAGGGGTCCGCGCCCCGCTTGGGTGCACGGTCCTCCCTCACCCCCACGGGGCTGCAGGTGAAGTTAATGCTGGTGCTGCCAACGGGTCAGCCTCGGGGGGGTTTAACTGAGCTGGGGAGCGCTAATTGGAGCTGACCAGAGGGTTCGGAGCACTGGTGCTGCCCTCTCCCCGCACCCCGACAGTGCCTGTGCCCGCCGGCCGGAGTGCTGCCCCCCCGTTGTGCCCCCCACGGGGTGGGGTTTGGGTGCTGCACGTTTGTTTCGATGCCCTGTGGC